ACATTGAATCAACGTTGAACGCCGACATTGAAACAACATCGAAAGTGGTCGGTGACTTGTATGTTGAATCAACGTTAGGGTTTCAACCATTACTGACATATCAATGTTGATTCAACCATCATTTGACTGTGGATCTGCATGCAGATTTGTGTTGATTCTACATTGAATAAGTTAGGAATCAATGGTGATTCAACCTTCATCTGAACGTGGATCTGCATGCATATTTGTGTTGATTCTACATTGAATCAATGTTGATTCAACACTCATTTGACTGTGGATCTGCATGCAGATTTAGGTTGATTTTATATTGAATGAAAGCTAAGGATTTATGTACATTTTAGGTCTGATAGGTGTACATCGTAACATGCCACTAAAAGTTTCTTCACTGGTGTTAAACACACTATATTATTGGCAGATGATGTGTAAACTGTGTACAAAAGGTTAAAAATGACAACATGGGTTTGATATAACATTTTAAGAAAAGAGGGACAGATCTTTAAACATATTTGATTCCTTTGTCACTGTCAAAACAACAGTCTGTTGTCCACAGAAGAACAGAGTCCATGAGGTTAAGCTTTGTACTGTATGAACTAGGGAAACAGTACAAGTTGTGGTAACCCCAGTTTGACTCTGGTTGGCGTCACTTTGATTCCTTGTGATGTCTTCCTCTCCTTCTAGCGCGTAATGAAGCCACTTCTTGACAGTTTTGCTACAGTCCTCAAGAGTCAGCTTTTGGTCAAACTGCAGAGCAACGACTGAAAAACACAAAAAAAAAAACATAAGGAAGGTCCAGTTAGAAAAATGATTTATAATTTATACAGAATAANATATATATATATATATATATATATATATATATATAAATAAAAGACCCAAATGCCGTCCTACTGAAAGGAATCTCCATTCTTAGGTCTCATTCTGCCTGAATCCTCCTGATCATACTCCAATCCAAAACAGTGATATAATGGTCACTGCACCACATACTGGTGGAACCAGTTAATTTTAATCATTTTACTTTTAATAACGACCATTTTCTAGATCCTATATGCTTTTAAATGGAAACTTTGGTCATTTAGTTGCTTTGAGAGGAGCAACCATAACCAGAATGTTCGATGTTTTATTAGAGTTTGCATACTCTAATAAAACATATTAGAGTATGCATATTAGAGTATTAGAGTATGCAAAATATTTCAAGGAAATATTTTATTACCTTGTAATAAAATAGTATTTTATTACATTTCAAAGGTCGATTTTATTACATCATTACATATTGCAGTGTTACAGGGTGGTTTATATGTGGAGAGTTTTTATGATTGTCTCCCCATGGCCATAAAATGAGAAAAGAAAACTTTTTTTTATCTTTGTTTTTTCCCCATGTTTTTTTTAAGTTAAATTTTGAGTTTTCATTAGTTGTGAGATACATTCACCAAAAATAAAAACATGAACTTTATCAATCAGTGTACAAATTTCCCTTTTTAAATTAACTCACTAAAAAAATACCAAATTTTTGTTTGTATATTTTTTATATTTCACTGAAAAAAAAAGATGGAGCTCCAGTTTAAAAACATTGTTTTAAATGAGTGAAGTTTGTCAGACTTAATTTATTTACATTTGTTTAACCTGACAACTTAATAAACTTAATAAATTAATTAAGTTAATTAATTAATTAACTTAATTAATTAATTAAGTGTAATATGCAATATATACTTAAATATATTGCATATTAATGCAATATATTTAAGTAGGATAACTTTTTATGCACTTTTTCAGTGCATCTTTAAGAGCCATTTAAAATTGAGCTCTAACTTTTATGAATTTGAAGTGCCATCTGAAGAACTCGTTCTGCTTAAAGCTGTTAGAATAATAGAATTCAGCTCTGGTGCCAGGTATTAGTAAATTAAGTCAAAATGAAAACATATGTCAAAGTAAATGCAAATGAGAACATAAATTCAGGTTAAGGAGAGTCACACCTCTGTTGGATATGTGGTTTCTCCCTCCTCCTCGAACGTCTAGACCAGACTTCCTGGTTGGCTCTAAAGACAGAATTACATATTAAAACATCTGAACATAGAACGATATGATAAAGTTTGCTGCAGAGATACTTTAATTATTCGTTTTGACTCACTGGAGGACTTGGGCAGACCGTCTCCTACAGAAATGGTGAGAGTCTTCCCTCCCGGTTTGAGCTGAGCCAAATCTCCTTGACCTCTTTGAAAAACTACAACCCTGGAGGTTCCTCCGCCCCAGCCCTCCTTCTTCACTTTGAACTCCAGTCTGAAACACAGAAAATCTGTGTCAGATCCTTTTATTTCTGCTTTATCAGGCCTCTGAACACTTTCTGTTGTTCTACCTGTCAGAAAAGGAGATGGTCATCTTTCTCTGGGTCACTTCCTCGTAGCGTTTAGAGAGCAAACTGAGAAACTCCGTCTTAAAGTTGGACTCCAGCAGACTGTCATACTGGGCCTCGTGCAGAATGAAGAAATCATCTTGTCTGGAACTGAAAAGAGGAAAAGTGAGCTTCGAAACTCTGCCCTAAGATTAAAAAAGAAAAAGGAAGCAGTACTTAGAAACAGACATAAGATCAAATTAGAAATCAATGTATCATCATATAAAATTATTCTGTATTCGTATTCAACTTTTTTCTTATTACTGAAACATAATAAGTTAAAAAATGAAGCTTTATTCCAGCACTGATGGCAGGTGTTATGCAGCATATGTGCTCATCAGTTTAATTTATTGCTGTTTTTATGGTATATTGTAAAATAACGACTATTTAGCTGCTTACTTCTGATGAGATTTAGCCTCAGTTTAAATGTGGAAACAGATATCAGGAGGAGTTTCTGCGTTTAAGTCTGACTATCAATTTGTTCTGTACAGTATATAAAGTAATCTGCTGCACCCAATAAACCACAGCATATCTGCATGAGAGCCTACACAACATTGTAAAAAAAACTGAGCCAGCATTTGATGCCGTGGGATAGTGCATTTAGAAATGATGCAAGATGAGCAAACAGTATTTACCAGAAGTCCCAAATCTTTCTATTTTACTAACATGTCATTTTTTCTGCAATATTAATGTCTTGGAGCAGTCAAGGACTTGAAGCTGAGAATCTGTGAGCTAAAAGATTAGAGTGGTAGTAAGTAGGCCTACTGACCTCAAAGACTAGAGCACAGAACCAAAAATAAAGTCCTAAAAACACCAGCGGAAACATGCAAAAATACTGTTCAGCAATTCTGAGAAGAGTTTGATTGCTGTAATACCTAGTATTGGGTTGCTACCTAAAAAGTTAGTGGCACCGATATAAAAGAACTAATCATAAACATTAAATCTGGTAACATTAAAGCACCAACATGGAAGCTAATGCTAAAGTGCTAACTTCAATTTGAATTGCCCTTGAAAGACTGCAAACCTCAAGCACGAAATATATTTTGACTTTATAATATACATTTGTAGCACCCTTAGATAATGTATTTATGTTCATATCTTGCCCTCTACTGTCTACTGTGTTTTAATTTCCATATTTCGATTTTAACAAGTAAAGTTATTGGGGTGAAATAAGAGAGAGAAAATAGAAGAGGAAACGGAAAGTGCTGCGTAATTTTCACTCACTTCAAAATAAGAGCATGAATAGAAAGGTTAAAGAATTCTTAACGGCCGTAACCGAAACTTCGACAGATGTAGAACTTCAATCAACTAACAGTTTACTAAACAGTGTTGAAGAAGATTTAGGTTATAATATTTCTTAAGAAAGAAACTCTTTGGCTCGATCTCCTTCGATCCCAGGTTCTCCCGCCGCGTGTAGCCACAAAAAAACAACAATGAGAGCAGACGTCACAGAATTGCAGTTTAATCCAATAGAAGACAACGCATAAAATTACAACAGAAACTGCAGAACAACAGAGACATACATTCATTTACCTGACATAAATGGAAAGAAGAAAGAGAAAGAAAGAAAGGAAGAAAAGCAAAGACGTCTTGGAGAATTGCGAGAACAAATCTAATTTTTTACTTCTATGTAGAAAGTTTTATAGTGAAGATGCATTCTTATCTTTAATTTATTCAAATAAGGCGTATATTTGCTCATCCAACCAGGAGCTATTTCTGACCCTCTCTCAAAAGCCAGGAACTCCTGCTGTTTTTACAGCTTTTCACAGATGAGTGTGAAAAGCTAGAACTTCTACTTATTGTTTTCCCACACAGACAAAAGGCAGTTCAAAAGATCTTACCAAACCATCTGCTGTAACTACAAGTAACATAAAGGTCAATAGGCCAGAATAAGTTACTGATTTTAAAACTATAATTAGGCTATTTCAATCAAGACATGTTAAGTTTTAAAACTAGCATATTTTAAATTTATTTTCTTAACAACAGACAGGCAAATTAGCAGTTTAGAAATTATCTGAAAAAAAAGTGCTAAACTTACAATACTTGAGAAATTGTACAAAATCCAGTAGTTTACCCTTCTGTTGGCCCAGTTAGAGAAAACAGATGAGTTGCAACTGATGAGGTTGGTTGCTACAGCTACCACTGCTAACAACAGTGTCTTAGCGTTGCAACACTGTTCAGCTAATATAGATTTTTTGTGGCTTAGTTGCAGAAACTCAGTTTAAGTGTGCAAAAACAAAACTTCACCCTAATATAAATAAACTGTACAAAATGGGGAACACAAAAGCACTGCAGAGATGTTTTGCTTTATAGAGCTTTTAACTAAGGAGAGGTAATTAACTACTGGTATAAATAAAAATACATTGATGCAAAGAAGTTCTTTTGCTCAGTTTGTGTTGCTTTCTCACATCTATTTCTGCAACAATTAAATTTTATATTGATTTGGAATGTGCAATTCACTGTCCATTATAAAAATGGATAATAAAATATAGGCTTAAAAAGTTTGATAATGTATCAAATTATTCAGCAGTATTAAAGCTGAACACCTTAAAGATATTCTAAAAAATATGCTATCTGAAACCTTTCAGATAAATATATTTAATGTAAATGTTATCCTATTCTTTTGTCTCAGTATTGTTTTTGTTGTTTTATGATCTCAACAGTGTTGCTAATGTTTGTTGCTTATTGTAAAAGTGTGGTGTTTAATCTCCCCACCAGGTCGGTATTATAAATAAGAATTTCTTCTCAATAAGTCTTCTGGTTAAATAAAAAATAAACAGAAGAATTTGCTGGTAAATGCAACATTAGCATGAATATTGTTTCAAAGAAAGCCATCTTTGAACTCTGGTACAGAAACATCTGCATTTATTCATCATAAAAGTGTGAAGCCTACCTGAGGGAGACGCCGGTGATGTTTGCAAACTCCATTTTACGTTTCAACACCTCCTTAATCTGCCCTTTCTCAGGCCCTTTCTTCACCTTCTCTAGACCAATCAGATAGATCCCCTTAGGCGTCAAGATCAAGTCTCTCTTGATGGACTGTGTGAGAAGAAGAAGAAAAAGAACTGACAACTGTGTATTGCAAGAAAGGGGAAGAATAAGTGTGAACACAAGCTTTTGTGTTTTAATCCCTATTTGTAACACGCACCTTGAACCTGCGGTCGAACTTTGTGACCGAATCAGCAAAGTCGACGCGCTCCCTCTTCGCCAGGAACTGCCGCAGCTCGGGTCTCTGCTCCAGGCCGAGGTAGTCGCCAACAAAGTTCCTGTTGATGCTGTTTTTCCTTCGCTCTTTCGAGTTGTACAGGATGTCTGAGGCTGCGTGTCGAGAAGAAATGAGGACATGTTTAAAAAACAGAAGTCAGACTGTGTGAAAAGCAGTATGGAGAAACTCATGCTGTCGGCGCTGCTCACCCTCTTCCCTCATCTGTTCGTACTTCTTCCTGGCGTTGTACCGTCTCCAGGCCTTCTGAATGGTTCTGGCGAAGGTGTCAAACTTCCTTTCTCTCATCTCCTCAAGAAGAAACAGCTGAAGAAGAAAAGGAATGTGATTATGTTAAATATAAAGCAATTTTTAATTTAGTATCGCTTAGCATCATCTGTGGGAAAAACTTATTGACTAATCTAGACGGAGGAGGAACCTAAAGTAGTAGAAAATGTGCACTCCATAAAAACAGCAACGTTTGCCCGGTTATTGGACTAGTGGGAGCAAGACGAGGTTGACTCCTCGGATAAAGGTACAGCCCAATCCCGTGGTGGGAAAGACGTTTCTCTCTGGTTCTGACTCTCATGTGTCATTCAGTGGTTACTTTCACACAGCAGGCAGATGCGACCCAAATGCAACCCATATTTGACCTTAAATGGCCAATTAAAATCTTTTCTCCAAAAATAATCCCATCTGAGCCACTTCCATATGATGTACTAAATCTGAAACAGATCCAATAGTTTTCAAAGCCTCTAGAGTCTGAATGGTCATGTCATATGTTGTCCATGCGTCATAATTCTGCACCAGTAGCCGTAAATCTGGATGTAAATAATGGCTAAAAATTATTATTGTAAACTTTTGAAAAAAGTCTGTCATTAAATGCTACATCACAATGACACCACTCTTGGCTCTGACTAGAAGAAGAGGCATTTGCTACTAGGTGTGTTTTCTTTTTATTAGCTTCCTTTATGACTTTATGATATTGTGACATGTCAGCTCTCATTTCTGAATAGACTTTAAAACCAATCCATAAATGCCTCCATCCATTATTACTTTGGTAAGCAATGCTCTGCTTGTGTGACGTCGATGTTCTTCTGTGCATGCAAGTCGCTTTGGGGAGATAAACCGATCACACCGAAGTCTGACTGAGGTCTGGTTTAGTTAGGAGTATGAACAAAAAAATAAATAAAATCTGCAAAAAATTGGAATTGAGCATCAAGACCTGTCGTGAACGTAATCTAAGAATCTAAGTTGGCTCTTTTTGTTCATACATTAAGCCAAATAACATATGACAAAACACAAACTGCACACAAAAATCTCAGTACCGATTCTGGGTTCTTGACAAAGACTTTTGTGCGTCCCATCTGATACTGGTCTGTGTCCATGTTGACGGACCGGAGGAGGTGGAGGACCCCCTGCTGCTCTGGTCCCCTCCAACACGGCCATGTTTCAGCCGTAAGGATGGCATACCTGGAGCCAAAACGCACCCAAAACCATCTCAGTTTTCTTTCAGAACAAACGCATTTAAACACGAATCATAAAACTCACCTATGCAGAAATTTAGTGAAGAGTCGTCGGTAAGCAAATCCAGCTCTTCTCACACGAATGTTTTCCCTCAGACCGAGGTATTCCACTTGATGCTTAACCCTGAAAACAGTCAGGAAATCCCTGTTAACGAGGAATAATCTCCTGCTGGATGTCTGCTTCGCCACAGTGTGCATGCAGACCTGCTCTCCTCCCAGTCTTTCGGCCTTTTCGTCTCATTTGGTTTAATACAGCGGATATAGTGTGGTGTGCATTTCATCAGAGTGCTCACGAGCTCATTCGCTTGTCTCTGTTGGAAGCATCAACAGGCTTTTAATACGTTAAAAATGGAAAATTTAAGTATTTACTTATTTATATATTGACTTACTTTGATCTTTGAGCTGGCTGTGGTCGGCCGCCCTTTCTTTTCCGTGTTGAGGTTTTCAGGGAACAAGCTGCGGATGAAGTTACTAAAGCAAGAAATTAGATTTTTATTAATTTTAACAAGAAGAATTGCAAAAAATTGGTCTTTGTTATTGCTCAAAATGCTTACAATTCACTGCTTTGCATGAGCTCAATGAGGTCAGGGAAGAGGACATCTCGATTTCTCTCACAGAATCCGTTGATATCATACGACACCTGAGGAGAAATTAAACTTCACCTGTGATTCCCACGTTACTGTTCCTGCTGGTGTGATTAACATCAACTTAAAAACTGGAATTTCTGCACCAGATGAGTTGAGTCTGACCTTCCCAGCGTAATGATGGATAACAAATCCAGAGTTCCAGCTGTTGAAATGTTCGTGGGTTCCCACAGCGGCTTGCAGCTTCTGCAGCAGCGTGCCATCTGCGCCCTCACCCTTGGCGTGCATCGTGGCGCAGACGTCGTCCAGGACGCTCATGATGCCAGGAGGGCTCTGCAAGCAGGACGCACAACTTTACCAGTTTAAAGGTTTCCATAAAACTGCTATAAAAACAGGATTTTACTCTATGGGAAACTAATGTTTAAACAAAAAAACAAAACAAAAAAAAACAACAGTTTTCAATGCAATAATTAGCAAAATGATGTTGAGTAAGGTTAATGCAGGTTTTATTCCACGCAGCAACAACAAAATAACCCTTACTCATCTTATTTTAAGCTTAATCCAGTTCTAAACCGGATTAAGCTTAAAATAATTTGGTTTTTATTTTGTTGTTAAAATTTGTTTCAGTTTCAATTATTTTAAACTTAATTATTGTTTTGACTGAATTAAACATGTTGAATTATATGCTCTTTTGTATTTCCCATTTTGAATAATGACAAACTAAAATGGGCCTCGCTGTAATGCAAAGCTATGAATTATGCGAGCAACATAAATACATAAAACATTTTATAAAAATGCTTTAGTTACACTGATTTTAGAGGAAATCTACAAATAAAGATTGGATGTTTCAAATTCCTTATGTGTGAGATTGTGCAAGACAAATAAAACACATTTTTAGGGCTTCTATACATCTTTACCAAGGGTGTCAATATTTTTTCATTTATGGGAAATATTTATCTTACCAGTTTATTTTCAATGAGGTCACACACAATCTTGTTGTTAAAATACTCGATGGGGGTCCATTTAATGCCTTCCTGAACATATTCTTCCTGAGGAAATAAATCAAAAGAAAGCAATTTTTAATAAAACAGGAGATTTGGGACAACTGAGGTTAGTGAAAAAAACATTAAAAAAAAACATTTTGTGTTTACCTGCTCAGCCTTTAAAGTGAGTTCAATAAAGATCTGCTGCAGCTTCTCATTGACAAAGTTTATACAAAACTGCTCAAACCCATTTTTCTGCAGAGGAAAACGCATCACAATCCATATTAAATCACTAAATAAAGCCACCACTTTATGTTTTATTGCCCGTTTATAAATGTTATGCACCTGTAAGCTGTGAAAGCACTAACCTGAAATATCTCAAAGCCATAAATGTCAAGCACACCGATGCTGAACTCTTCATAAGGTTTCTGGATGGCTTTATTTATGGCCTAAAGTACACAGAACACAGTCAGAGGGACATAAAACTAATCTCTGCTGACCAAAATGTGTTTAATTTAGCCTGTTGTGGCTGTAAATGGACGGCATGACATGCTAACCTCTACAAGGTAGTCAAAGAGACGTGCGTAAAGGGCTTTGGCTAAGGCGTCGCGCGTGTAGGTCGCCTGCTCCTGGTTGAGTGTTACGTTGATGGACTCGGACTTCCCGCCCCACTTGGAGTCCATCTTTCGACTCGTCAACTTGTCCTGCAGCCTGGTGGGGTCGATTCCCAGCAGGTAGGCAGGAAAGGCAAGCACTGACGCAAACAAAAACAACCACAAAACACATCAGTTATTAAAAAAAAACAATCTTCAAAGATAAGGCAGAGGCACGAACATATATATATATAATTATTATGTATATTGTATCAAAATGTGTAATGCAGTGTAGTAAAAGAATAAACAATGTGATATACAAACAAAATACATTTAAAAGAAAAGCAAACAAAACAAAAGAATAGTAAAGTATATTTACACGTTCAAAGGAGTGGGTAGAGGAATAAACTTATTTTACCTTCACCCCTTTTACATTTGTAGCATTACACGATAAATTACTGTTCATGTTGGTTTTAACAGCTTTTCTACATCTATAACTAATACAGTTGGTTAGTGTTTCATTTATTTTGGTACAAAACCAACTCTAAATGCAACTCCAGCAAAGACCAGCCCGTTACCTAGCAACCCTAGTGGCAGAGTTCCACTCGTCGCCTAGCAACCCAAGCTGAGTTCCAGTGTGTTTGCTGTATTCACCATTCAATGGATCTATCTATCTATCTATCTATCTATCTATCTATCTATCTATCTATCTATCTGAGCAGAACAGACTTTAACAATTAGCTGGGATTCAGCCTTTGGGAACTGCCTTTGCAACGGTGAGCTCTAATTTGCTCATAACCCTCAGAGGAGGAGCGTTGTTACTCCGTCCCATCCTTGGTTAATGAGCGTGTAACAGCTCAGTGTTATACTCACAGTCTGTGCTTTCCACCTCGCTCTGGTTTCCAGCCTCGATGAAGCTGATGTTGCCCAGATGGAGGATACCTGCTGTGATCTGCAGCACCTGAGCCTGGATGTCACTGGGGATGCCGATAACCTGCATGGCTTCCTGCAAATGAGCAACAGCTCAGTGGTGAACACAGATAATAATAATCCTAAAAATAACAACAATAACTTCATTTATAAAGTGCTTTCATACATTTATAGGGAAACAATTATTATTATTTTAATTTGCACATTTATTTTGTCACCTAGAACAACAGTTTTGTCTACTCTGATCATGGCAGATTGTTTAACTTATAACTAATATTACTTTCTCACCAATATTAAGGAATCATTAACTTAAAACAAGCTTCTGTATCTTGCTGAAAAGTTACTTTTAAGTTATTTTTGTCTCATTTCAAGTGAACTAAGATACTTAAACGTGAAACTAAACCAAAATATTTAGTAAGATTTAGTTGTTTTTTCCCAGTGTTTTTAATTCCTGAAACATGACCACTGACCTTAACTGAGTCAAGTATCCTACTCTTATTGCAGCCTTTCTCAAGCTGTGGTTCCCGGACCACGGGAGGTCCGCGGGTGCCCCCTAGTGGTCGGCGAGGTACTGCATGTAAGTTAGCTTACCAAAAGATTGTGGTTAAAAATAATAATGGGTAAGTGACGTAAAACCAGGTCACGTCAACAGTTATTATTATTTTTATTTAATTAAAAATGATTTATTGGTGAATAAATACAATAGATAAATACTACAGAAGAGGATTAGGGACCTGGAAAATATTATTTAGACTTTAATCTCATAATTCTGAGATTAAAGTCAGAATTCTTTTTTTGTTTTTGTTTGTTTTGTTTAGTGGCCTTAATCCTCTTCCGTCAAATACAATTGATAGAAATGGGTGAATACTTTTTATATGTAATGGTGCGGAAGATAATTTTTGTTTCTGCCACAAACTTAAATCTATTTTTATTTAATTTTAAGTCAAAAATAGCCCTGAAATGACATTGATGGAAATAACACTTGTAGTGAAGAACTTGCTTTTGTATTTTCATGTTTTTGACATTATTGGAAAACTTACAATCCAGACTTTAAGAATTTGTAAATAACTCAAAACGCCCTCCACTTGTTCATGGACAGTAGCATTTATAAAACAGAACCACTTCTCATTAGAATAATAATTTAACTTCAGGTTGGGTATATTTAAATGTGTTATTGCGGGGACACGTTATATGATCTGTGAGTGTTTGTTAAAAGGACCTCTGCACAGTTTCTGCTCGTTATTTTTGTCTTCAGTGAAGACAAAAATAACCAGGTTTTCATGAGTAAATACCATCGTCTCAGAGAAGTCTTTGCTGTCGTTGGTCCCGTCAACCTTGTAGGTCCCAGACTGGTTGAGGTAGTAGTAGTAGTCTGGAGTCATGAGGCCCAGGCCTTCTTTCTGCTGTGCGTTGGCGCCCTCTATCAACTGGAAGCAGACGGTGCAGGAAAACGGTCA